ATATAACTATTATGACAAAAAAAAGCAAATCAGGTAAGAAACGAAAAAAACATAAAAATGCATAAAAAGAGCTAAATTGTAGCTCTTTCGTTCAAAACTCATTCACAATTCGTGCACTAGTTATTAAAATTGCAGTATAAAGTATATGCATATTATAGTATGTGGCCAATGAACGATCACCGCATTAGAGTCGACTGTGTAAATAAATATAAAGCAGCAGCAGCAGCAACAGTAAATAAAATAATAAGATGTAACAAGGCTGCATGGCTGGAGAGGTACTTGCGCTGAAAGTCGAGACAATAAACATTTAGCGATAAGTTAATTGTGCAGATATCCGTAAAAATTATCCAACACAAACAACGAACGAAATTCAATTTGAACGACGAGGAAGATTGAGAGAGATCAAGAGAGAAAGAAAGAGAAGGATAGGAAGGAAATATGAAATAAAAAGTGTATCGAGACGAAAACAAAAGCGAAGAAAAGTGTCCAAGAATGCAGGGAATGTTTTTTTTACTTCATTTTGTTCGCTTTTTCGTCTATCAACAAAATATGCATGCCACAGAAAACTATTCACTATGTGCAGAGAATATTGTGTGTATATGTATGGTTTGGAATTGAAGTACATATGCCGAAATGTATCTATATCATGAGGTCTATACACTATTACGTTACAACAAAAAATGTGATGGTATGCGATATTTGGCATGCTGTTTCCATATTTATCTGCATTCTTTCGGTGTGCTAACAAATATGTGACTTTTAATTGAACTAATGGTACAATTACAGCCAAACATCATCATGTGTGTGTGTGTGGGTACGTGATGAAAATAAAACCCAGATTAAAAGTGGATTTGCAACAAAGAGATATATTATTGAATAACCTGCAACCTGCATATCATATTTTGAGTCGAGTTTCAAATCATATTTGATTTGTATGCTAGGGTGTTTCCCATATCTGTAAATAGAAAAATGGTATCTATTAATTCAAAGTAGGCAAAATTCTATGGTAGTTAATGGCATTTGTACAACGGAGCAATTGATGTTAGCACTTCCCCAAGCGAAAAACAATTGTCACGTCTGAATGTATAGATGCAATCGAATAGTGAAAAATACTCACAGAAAAACAGAGCCTTGGTAGTACTTCCTGAGAAATGCTGAGACACAGTCAGTCTCAGTTAGTGTAACAAAATTACAATATTAATTTTTAATTAATTTTCGAGTTAAAATGGTGATTGGTTATGATCGAGGCTGCTGATTATTTTGAACTGCTTGTTGTCATCGATTTCCGTCACACATTCATCATCGACTGCATACAGTTGTTGAGCAACCTCTCCATCGATTTCCGCTGCATTTTCATCATCAACTGCATGTGGTTGTTAATCAACATTGACGTCAGCATATTCCAATACACCAGTCACTGCGTTTACTTGCCATTTTTTTGGATACACGGCCACCTTAGACAGTAAACGATCAGCTATAATGTCGAAATCATGCTCGGTCATTTTACCTCGTGCCAGAAATAGCGCCAAACTCTCTTCAATTTATATTGTTTTTGTTATAATTTAAACACCGTTTGCTGAGCTGTGCCACGATTTTAGATGGTAAAAAGTTAGCCATGATTGAATTTAGCACCGGTGCACAATTTTTACAAACTTTGAAACGGTTACTTTTGGTGCTTGGATTGAATTGTCACCAGCAACCGTTGAAGATGTTGTTTTGACAATTTATACAATACCGATACTGATTCACCGTTGCTGACAATTGTTTGCTTGTATATTAATAGGTTGCTTGTAATATATAATAATGCTTTGGTTTTATTCAAAATTTGATTGATTTTGTCAAAATCGAATATTTGGTTCCAGAAGTGTTCTTTGTTTTGGTAAATGAACTTTGCGGTTGTTTACCTTCGACTTTTGGAAGTAGCTTCTCTTCTTCCAACATTCTGTAGAAACCATCACTGCACATGAACACTGCCTTTCGCTGATAATCTGGCAATGGAACAACAGACAGATTTTTTATCTTTGGTATTGTGATGTTGTTGTCTTGCGCCCAATTGTGAAACTCATCGATTTTGCTCTGCATGACAAGCCACATTGCAGTTGCTTTGAACCAGTATTTGCCTTTTGAGAACTGCTTTGAACCTCTTCCACAATTCCATGTCAAGCAGCAACTTTCTTTTGTATCGTTTTAGAGGTGCATTCTGATGTGTGTCTCGAATGGCATCATAGCGTCGAATCGCCCAATAAATTGCATTGTCAACATCCTTTTTATCGAACTTCAAACCGGTTGACACTGCATTAAACTGCCAAGCTCTCATTTGCAAATAATTTCGCAGCCGCTTCTTTGCATGTGTCGTTTGATTCGTTTTCAATTGGCGCGTATAACTTTGGCATAACGATTTCATGATGTTGCCGAAATAATTGTTGTTTGGCCAGGCAAATTGATTGTCTCGGCTCAGTCCTTGCTCAACAAAATGACGAATGTGTGGTTCCATGTCCTCGTTTTCTTTGTTCTTTTGCAAAACTGCATAAAAGCAGCGCTCAATCACATCTTCGGCACGATTTTTTTTCAACCAATTTTTGTTTTTGGTTAACATACATTCTATTCGTGAAAAGTCCCATTGGCGATTGCTTTGCGCGGACTTCACTTTGTCAAGGAACAGCAACGATGCCAAAACGCTGATATTTGTTGACATGATACTTTTCTTTTCGATCCATGGTATGACAATATCATGGTACTCCGGCCGAACAATCGTTGTGAGACGCATTTTTATCGCTAATAAGCCATTGTCATTGAAGTTTTCGTCCTCGGCCTCTTCCTCTTGTTGCTTTTTTGTTTGATATTTATATCGTTTCTTTTTCGACTGTGCAGCCGATGTTTCACCAGTTGTCGACATTTTGAACTGCAACGAAAGAGAAAAAAAAACACGCACAATTTAAAACACCTATGAAATGACGGCCTTAGAAGAAAATAATAACATACAGAACATGCTGCAAATAATACTAATACAAATTTTATGCAAGCAAAAAGCAAATATATAAAGAGACAGCGCAAAAGGCAAAAGTAAAACCAGCCTACTTACATAAGAAACACATGTTTGATTTCACAAATATGTATTTTGCACTGTAACGGAGATAGAATTGACACTTGATCTTACCTGATTGATGGTCACGACTGAAGTGATATTCAAAATCGAAAAAGAACTCTCTCGAATGCACATCACACTAACACAGTCTAAAGTTGTATCGCAATATTTGCAGTTTCAGCTTGAGAACGTTTTATTGATATCAAAACAAAACAAAATTGAACACAAGTTTCACTGAAAATATCTCTCTTGCAAGTTATCGATTGACAATGATCCGAATGTTGAATCTGTTGTATTATGAATACCATCAAATAAAAACCATCAACAGAGTGAAATTAACTCTTTCGAAAGCATAAAACAAATACAAAATACGCCGACACATTCAAATTATATGTTTTGGCACTTTAACAATCGAATGCATAGAAATTATGCAAGGAATGCAAATTCAAAAAAAAAAAAAAAACAATGATTCTTACAAGTTTCACCACGTTCAAAATGTGAGAGATCATTCGACTAACACACAACTCACACTGCATTCCGATGTTAGAAATATTCCTATACTGTAAACACACAAATTTTTTGTTTATAAACCGTTTGAATAAGGAAGTTGTATGTGCTGAACTAATGAACGGACTCACAGTTTGTGCATGTGTAAACACTAACGAGCAAACGAAACGGCATGATTGTTAGCCTGTCGCGATGGATATACTCAAATCTGTATTGACAATACAGTATTGTTTGGACTGCTTGTGTGTTAATATTGATTCAAATTATATACAGACTTCACTGACCAAAAATTGCTTATACAGAGTTGTGTTGTTCGATCCTGAAAATGCGTTTAACATAAATACTTTCTTTTGTTTATTCATCGAATTCAAAGGAATCGCAATAATAAGTTATCAAAGCACTCGAATAGAGTCTATATATGTGCAAGCGACAAAGAAAAAACTTTCACTTTTTAAGATATGTTACATTTGCATGCGTTTCATATTTCTTTTTCGCTTCGGGAAGTGCTAACATTAATCGCTTCGTTGTATAAATGCCATCAAATAATATAGAATTCTGTGTTCATTGAATTCAAAAGTACCATTTTCTCATTTAGAGATTTGGGAAACACCCTAGTATACATTCTTTTGGTTTTTATCTTCAACGTGCACGAGCGTGAGCGCCAAAACTCTCTCATACACACTCACATCATCTATACCAAGTGAGCCATACACATGGTAAAAAAAAAGTAAACTCAGGGAAAAAAATGCACCATCAGCAGCTCCAGAAGAATAAAAAGCAGCAAAAAATAATAGCAACAACAACAAACCGAACGTAACATCAATATTCCGACAATAATCTTGGCCACAATACATTGTATTATGCAAAAGCAAAGCATATTCACGTTTGTATGTGTGCTGTGAATCGAGCAGAACAACAGAAATCTTAGGCTAAAAAAAGGGAGAGAGAGAGAAAAAGCGCGCGCGAGGCATATACATACATATCTTCGTGTTGAGTAATTCTTCATTCCCGTGCTTATGTCGACCACGAGTTTGAATCGTTCGAATGAATACGCTGAGCGCTCGATGATTTTTGCATTGGTATTGGTTTACATTTTACACCTGTATTTGTGCTGTATTGTATGGAGCTCACCGCTTTGGTATGCCAAATGAACGAAGACATAAATAAATGTGCTTTACTACAAAGTAGCGCTTTGAAGAAAAACACAAAAAAAACCATCATAAAACGAATGAATTTCTTTTGCATTGTATATGCGTATTGTATGTGTGTATGACACTGTGCGCTGCTCGCACACGCTCTCTTTTGTGGGCTCTCTGTTTCTTTTGTGCACGCTGATCGTTTTTTTTTTCTCTCAGCCGTGGTCGTGTTGATCGTCTGGCTGTTTTATGTTTTCAGTCAGTCAAAATTGCTCGTCGAGCTAAAATGTGTGTACAAATCGAAGCGTGTGTACCGTTTAATCGATGGTGAATCAGTTACAACGAAATCGAATTCAGATGTAACTTTTCGACAAGTTCTTCAATAAATCACATCGAATTTCGAATAATTCGAACGACAATGAACTTTTTTTGCATTTTCTTGAGCCAACAATAGTTTGTTCAGTGTGTCATCGATATTAAGACAATTTGTTTTGCAGGAGGAAAAAAAAGTGAAATAGCCAATATTGGATCGAACGACCTCTGGCATTTTGATGAATCAAGAACAATATCTCAAGAACAGCAAAACCAATCAAAACCATTAACGAACGTGCATTTTTCCCATTCGTGTGAATCACAATTTTTTTTTGCTGGTTGTTAGTTGAAACATTTGCGGTGTGTTACGTGCAATTTTACGAAGAATATCATCTTCAGTTTTTTTTTGTTGTTCAAATTGAATTTGAATAAGAAAGAGAAAAAAAAATAAAAAGTAAGAACATCAAAAAAATTGAGTTATATTGCGCACCATTTGTTTATAGTCGGTGTATGTGGAAACGTGTATTTGCGACTTCTTGCGGATTCTAATTCATTAAAACAAAAAATTTCTTACCGTGTTTTCGACTCGCAAACTTAATGATCGATCTGGTAAGTTATATTGAGTCTATAGCTGTTTATAACATCATATAAGATTTGATTTGTTAATCATGATTATTGTTTGTTTTATTCACGTGACGTTCTTATCCCCATTAATAATAATAATAATATAAGAAAAACGAAGACAATCACACTCATCATCTTCATAATTTTATTTTCTTATTCATCGTTCACTTGTTGTTTTGTATGCCATTTTTATGTTCTCTTTGTGTATTTTGAAATACACATCGTGTTTGCTATTGAGTTAATTTGACCGAGCACACACCACTTCAATTTGCGCTTCTTAATCTCTCAACGTTATTGATTGAGAAATGAGCGTGCACGGTTTGAATGATATTTTCATCTGTGTCTGTCTCGTTTTTTTATTTGAATCGTTTGCATCGGGGCGTGGAAGTGATTTTTTTCAGTTAGTGTCTATGGCAGCAACAGAGGAAACTTAAATTCTTCACGGGAAGAAAAAAAAAAGATCGTGTAATCTTCTATCTTCGCTGTTGCTGCTGTTCATGCTTTATAGAGAATCATTCACCATTGGAAGATTCAAGAACCTTGAGCAATTCCCAGCAATTGTACTTGCACTTATATGCCATTTCTAATGCCGTAGATATGCAAATATTTTGAAAAGTGACACTCGAACCCGAAGACATACAAAAACGAGGATGTGTGTGAGAGATAGAGAGAGAGAGATTGAAAGAGAAATAAACAATTATATCGCATGTTTCTGGCACTGAAATGTTGTCGATAAAGACGTAGAGAAAAGAGACACATATACCATACATCTATGTGCATGCATGTTCTTGTTTGCCTCTTGGGTTCATTGCTAATTCAACACAAACTGGATATATTTATTTATTTTTGCCCCATACCAAATTACTTGCATATTTCAGCAACCTACACGTATATTTAAAAATTAAATATAAACAAAGTCAAAGAACAAACTCACTAAACTTTGTCCAAAAGTGTTGTTATTTCTTTTACTTCGTTGCTTCATGTCTTATGCGCGTCTTAAAATGGGCCGACAACTTTTTGATAATTTTTTTTTAAGCGCATATGCTTCATTGTAGAACAAACAAACACACACACGCACACATGCAATCGACGTTCATTGAACGGCATGGCATTTTCTAGCTGCGCCCATCGCAATTTTTACGCCATTGATTCGAAGATAATGTTGATGATGACTACAGATCGAATAGACCGTGATCAATGTAAGAATCAATTACTTTGCCAATTTTCATGCATCAAACACTTGTGTACGCGAATGTTGTAGCACTTGTGAAGTTGATTTACACATGATTGGCGGTGCCCACCATTGAACAATCGGTTGGAGCGAATGGCAATCGATCGGACGGAAGTATAAATCGATTAGATCACGTCAGTTGTGAATACTAAATCACTTGAACCTTGTATGTTTTTTCTTTACGTGTGTATTGCACAAGTATCTGGTCGCAATGTTGTTGTTGTTGTCGTTTTTTTCGTTCAAATTCTACCTTGTTTCGCATCTAAATCATAAAAATTATTAAGAAATATCGGTTTATTGGGGCAATAAATTAATCTTATGTGCGTCGTAATTTTGTTGTTTTCATCTCTGGCAATTGCATTGCTCGCACCATATCGACAGTGGACACACACACATTTCTCGCTCCGTCCATGCCATAAGTTTATGGGTGAGAGAGAAAAAAAGATTTAAATGCTTCGCAAGACGACGAAACAGAGTTTTGTTGCTCGATCGTTATCATAAATTAATTTATCATATAACTTTATGCGGTGCGTTTTCCAATTTTATATATCATATATGTATTTCCGATTCGCCATTATGTTGTATGTGCGTACATCTCGTTGTGCATGTAATCGGCCATAAATTTTGTTCGTTGACAGAGAGACAGAAAGGAGCAAAGAAAAAATGAAATCTTAACGAGAAATGAAACGATACGAGCAACGACAACAACAAATAAAAACAACAAGTGAAATCGATTATAAAATATTAATTTATGCCTCAAAGAATTAGAATGCTGATTGGATTCGGTGACTTTCCATGCGCGCGTGTGCGTGCGGTTTGTCCATTTGGTTTGTACACTTGGCAATGTTTTAAGCATTGAAAAAAAATTGTACGCGCCACAATTTACAGCCATGAAATATGGGTCGTTATGATGGTTGTTATTTACAAGGAAAAGAGAGAAGAAAATAATTCGCATTTATTGGATATGTTCGAACAACAAACATGAATTGATATGTGATACGATACGTTCGACCAGTTCCATCATCATTGTCGTTGTTGTCATCATCATTGCTCGTGATATGTGCGGACGCGATCGCGCATTTAAATGTACTTTCTCATTCATAAGTACTTCACCAAACACCATTACCACCTGTCGGCAGTATTATCATGCAATGTGTGTATATATATATGTGTATGTTTTGTGATTATGTAACTATTTCGCTAGGTATACGCATAAAAATGCCACTTATCTTTCTCTCATATGGGCCTCATTGAGCTTTTGACGCGAGCGAATGCGTGCGCGCGCGATTACACATTTTTTCACATGTTGAATATATTGATATGGCTAACAGGCCGAAAATGATTAACAACATGATTACGCAAATCAAATGAAACAGGTCCAACGAAAAAAAACCTTAATTCCAAATGAAATCCGGCCTCGCAATACGAAAGCAAATACACAAATCAAAACGAAAAGAGAGTGAGAAAAAAAACCAAACGAAAGAAAATACGAATTTTAAGAGGCGAAGAAAAAAACCAGAAGTGAAATATAAGTATTTCATGTCACATCAATGAGAAGAAGCCACAGCAAATGATTTTCATTGAACCATTTCAACACACATAACAAAACGAATGAACGATAAATGCTGAAGCATACACAAAATAAAAGTGTCAACGAAAAAACAAACACAAGAAGGTCAATTTTATTATTTGTTTGGTTTGAAAACACTGCGAATGTGGTTCAATCAAATGACACAAAGAATATGAACAATATGAGACAAAGAGAGATAGAGATAGGGAAAGGGAGACAGAGAAAAAGATTCCTCATTAGAGTCAATTCAAACTTCAATCAAATGTGGCATAATTTTTTTAAAATATAACAGTAACTGTGTGGCGCATAGTTTTGGTAGCCAAAAATTTATATATTTCTTTCTATTCTTTGATGATCCGATGACAGCCGGCCCATCACATGTCTATCCACGAATATATCTAAATCAAATCGGTTGATAAAAGCTGTTGTTTTGTGAGAGCACTGTAAATTTATTCAATCGGTTTGAACAAACGGTTGTGTATGATCCACTTAACTTGGGAACAAATTTTTCGAAATAAAATCACTCTCAAAAGAATGACAAAAATATTTTCTTTTTTTTGTTTCTTCTTTTGCATATTTATATCTATTTTCATGCCCGATAAACTATTCATGCATATTAAATTTATAGAAAGTTTCACGAAAAAAATATATATAACACATACCAAACCTTTGATTCAAACATACACATATAGCCATACACATGGCTTGTTTATTATTCGAAAAACGAATCGAACGAATGAGGAAAAAAATGTCTTCAAAATGGCTTTTGCTCATTTGAATACGACTGCACTGAGCGCTGAACCAAACCCATCCAAATATGTGTTAAATTAGTCATGAATATGATAGAGATTGATACTATAATTTGGCCCCGATGGAAAGTACGAAACAACGCGATATTCGATTTTAGTGTATACTACACAGCCATTTGCCGTCTGTTTGTGTTTCTTTTCTATCGTGAGTAAATGTTATTTAAAACAAAGAAGCCGAATATCACAAAATATCATGGCATCAAATCTTCCATCATCGAATACCTATCGATATTTTGATCCGGAAAAAATATGCGCACAAATACAATCTAACTGAAAATATACTTCACAAACCAGCGATTCGCTTACAATTTGTGAATTTTCTTTTGTAATAAACATTATAGTGAATGAATTTTCTTTATATGGCTGCCAGTGCTGTCAGATCACATACAATATACACTTCATTTCCATGTGAGTATTGTCTGCGAAAAAAAAGAAGAGAAGAAACATTCAACATGCCGCGCAAATGTGTCGAATGAAGGAAGATGTAAAAGAAACAAAAAAAAAGTTCACAAGAGAAAAAGTAGAAAAATTGATTCTTTCTCTCTCGTGCGCTCACATTCACATTATCGAATTTATTATGGGTGTCGATAAATAAGTAAAGTGCAGTGAGCTAAACTGAATTGAGACTAATAAGTATAATTCGATGTAAATGCGAATGCACTCATTACGCGTGTTTGCCTACGATTTGAGCACAACGTACATTGACCAACCGAACCACCATCACCACACTGGGATGTACACAACAGTTTAAAAAAAAATCTCAACGATTTGTCATGAGAGAACAAAAAACCAAGCAGGTACATAAGACACCGCGAGAGATAGAGGGGAGACACGAACTCACAATAATAACGCATCTTTTGTGATGGTGCACCATCAGCGTTTTATTCGTAGAGTACAGAGTTTAAATTGCACTGTGCTCATTTTGCATCCAATGAGTTCACAGCCACACTCTAGATGCTATAAATATAGTTGATGATGTGTCTGTGTCCATATTCTTTCTGCACATATTTACTTCAACGAGCTAATGCAATGCAATTACAAATAAACATGCTCTCTTACAAACAATTTGAAATAACAAAGACACTGAAAGCATTATGAAAATAAAAGAAAAATAGTATACTTAATGCAAAATATCAACAGGCAACAGGTATTACGATGATGATGATGACGACGATGAAGACGGCTGCAGCAGCAGCATCCATTATACAAAAAAAAATAATGCTTTAACTAATTATGGTTACTGTTATGCACCGTTCACTTAAATTATAATAAAAAAAATATCAACAACTCAAAAAGAAAAGAAATACTAAATCGAAAATTAAGAGAGAAAGACGGCCCAAAGAGACCAAGAAATGTAGATAAATGAAGATGAAAATCATCCGTGCAAATAAATTCAACGGTTCATTTGTGGTATGCGTATATTTTTGCATATCAATTATAATTTTTAGCAATTATGTTGCTGTCAAAGTCGACGAATTGTCTATTCTCGGCTGATAATGAAATTCAGATGAGAGATCCATGGTGTCGAGAGATTGTCATCTTTGTCATCATTATCACTGTATTACATTAATTTAAATATTTATCCGATGGATAATAAGGCGACTGATGTACCGACTGATACTGCCGAAATAAACGTGTAAGTTTTTGATGCTGAACCAACGAAAAAAAAACTTTCTCTTTTGGTGTTATCGATCTTTTTTGTTATTTTTCTTCTTCGATCACTGAAATCCATTGAAATCCATCTAATTCATTCAATTTACACGAAATTGCAGCGACGAACAGAAGTGAGCAAAAACAAGCCCCAACAAACGGGAGAAAAGCAATGGGCCTATAAGGAATGTTAATTTCAAAACATACATTACATTAGACTTGATGTTATATGAACACGGTAAACTTATGCACAACCATCCGATCGGGCAAACAGTAAGGGCTCGGTATGGTGACTGCCGTTGCGGTAGTTGTATTTACTGGCTCTCCTCGCAAACCGTACGCCGACTGTGTAAAAATGTAATGAGCCATATTGAGCGCTTCAGCTATTCATAGTTCCTTACCCACTTTGCCACTGTTTATGCTCGTCTCGCTTGCGCACCATCATCATTCCAAAACGTAATGATGTTAGCGTATCGAACACATATCTCATATATGCATTTAAAAAAAAAAATCACATGCTGGTGAGCTGCTGTGATGCAATCATCAAAAATGAACGTCTGCCGACTTATTTCATCTTCCATCGTAGTATTCTCACTGTTTTGTCGCAGCACCGTAATTCCAATACAATTTTGCTGATGTAGAAAAAAAAAATCATTTCATTGATATCGTTACTGAGCGGTTTAGAGAGATTTTGTAATCGCGCACGAATGCACTTCGCGCATCTACTTGCAATTGGCATGGAAGATTACCTGTTCGTAAATTGGCATATGTATATGCAAGTTTAAAGTGTCATGAGACACCAAGACACTTATACATTAAAGGTTCTCGATAAAAATGTTTTTCTTTTTCTTTTCCTTTTCACTCTTCTCATGTATTTTATGTGTTCACCTCATTTGAAATGGGAAATGTGCACAAAATAGATAGATAATAATGTTGGTTTGTCACGGCGAGAAATCCATTTACCTGAATTGACATGAATTCAAAAAAAGAAGAAAAAAATGCGGCTATACGCGCACGCTCATCAAACGCCGTTATTCATTTGTTGAAGAAAATTATCAGGAATTACAAACGTTGCAATTCTCAAAGACATTTTGAAATGTGCGAGCGCGTCAATTGAAAAAGCGATCGCAATCTCGATCTACGGAAAAGGAAAGAGAAAAAAACACAAAAATGCATACAAGTTATGTAATACATAAATAGTAGATACACTCAAATAACACATCAAATGAAAGTGAAGTTGGGAAAAGTGTCGACGATGAAATTACTATATATAGATGATGAAAAGAGAGATAAACAGAGAAGGCTTACTCTCTTTGTGTTATCCTCTCATTATATCTGTGTATCTTACATTTTAATTTGTGTTATATCAAAATAGAGATGAAGAAAATGAAAGAAATGAAAATGTGAATAAACAGAAAAATATCCCGCATATTTGCCTTGCATTTGTTAGCATATATGGTGTTGTCATTATGTTTCGAGACGAAGACGACTGCTTGTGTTTTTCTTCCTCTCTCTCTCTCTCTATCTCCTTGGTATCTGTGTGCATCGACTGTGTTGATTTTCTTTAATTGGTGGCTTTTGGGTCGTGCCCACTTAAACGATCGACTCATATATCCATCTTGGGCGAAATTGTTTCGACCACTTTCGCTAATTACTTTACAAATATGTGCCTGATTGTTGATTTTCTTCGTTTTGGCAAACATTCTGAAAAAAAAAAAACAACCGTTTTGGTTTCTGTTTTCTTTCTTTCTGTTTTTCTTCGATTTGTGCCGAGTATCATTATTATTTTCTCTTTGTTCGTTTATTTTTCTATTTGCAGATAAATACGGATCAGCTGTAACGCACCTTTTATATCTTGGAAAGGCGTTGAAAAGTCAAAACACACAGAGAAAGAAAAAAGTACATACAAAGTGTGACAAAAACCATCGATCAAAAGCAACAACAAAACTCATCCGATCGATCACATGCAGTGAGAGCACGATAGAGTGAACGCACAAAAAAAAAAACGAAACGTAAGAGCGCAAAATACAGACAAGCGAAGACAACGAACTAAAAAAAAAGAATGGTAAGTCGCGAACGTGCAAAGTGACGAACGCACGTGTTTAACAAACGCTAATTGATACATTCGAGTGCAATTGAAATTGAGAAGAAAGCTTTTACTCAATTCTCGTCGACCGTTTTTTTTCACCTTGTTTTATTTTTTATTTGCTCGTTGCATATGCAGTTGTTGTGAATCTGTTTCATTTTTTCGGTTTTGATTGCTTTATTTCGTTTTGATTATTGAACAGAGCAACGGGTTGCTATCTTCTTTCACATATAATCTTATTTATAGTGCGCTCGCATTTGTGATTGTGTTAAATGAACGGTGCTACAATCTACTGACATAGATACATAAACGAACCGGGTCCAATATCTCAATTGCAATTTTCTATTTTCCATTATGATGAAAATATAGAGAAGAGGAGAAGAAAAAAATATCGGTTTTTTAAACTCATTACGAAAAATTCAAATTGCATTTTATTTTACATTGGCTGCAACGACGCACACAACATTCAATGGAAGTGAATCAAGAATCAAAAACTATCTAGATTCAAAAACTATTCCACCCGAAAATATATTGCTTCATTGTGCGCTTCGCTAAGCTTCTAAATCTCTCGCGTGTGTTTGTGTGTGTGGGGGGAAGAGAGACAGAGATAGAGAGTGTAACTGACATGCAGTGAAAATACGGAATATGCTTGAAACAAACAATTTATCACTTTGTAAATTGGCGCAAAAAATATTTGGAAACGGTGAACGAGCGAAATGTGCATACGAAAAGTGAAAAAAAGTATGTGCTAAAATCTAAAAAGAAGAAACAACCGAGTGAAAAACAAAAAACAAATAAACTGCAAACACAAATGAAGTGAATTTGAAACAAAACATAAAAGCACACAGCTACACCCATAAGTGCAAATGATTTATAAATGTTAAGGTTATTTCAATCAAATGCTTGAACTGTTTAGTGCAGAGAGAATAAAAAAGAATCGTTTTTTTTTCGTGTTTCATTAATAATGCTATTTATGTTCGAGTGAAGTAAATTGTTAAAACAATTCGAAAGGGGAGCGAATGAATAGATACGAATTGTTGTGTGTGCGTGTGTTATTTTAGTGATAATTAATTACATTTTCAACGTTTCATGTTTGCAAGCGCAAGCCAAAAACAATCGGCCGTATATAACAAAAAATCGAAAAAGAACCGAGATTCATCTCACTCACTTTCGCGTTAAATTGAAAAGTGTGCGCACAGCTGTCCGATTTTCGAAGCCATTATACCGCCCCGTGTGTTCAGCAAAGCCGCGTTTGAGTGACCGTGTACAATATAAACTACACGATATAAATAAAGCAAGGAAATATAATCATCAAAAATGTATAAATCAAACGATATCAAGCATTTCACATTAACGCTGACTGTGTTAGTTTTAAGTTGTATTCCATTGATCAGTGCGCATGTTGCGTTGACGTATCCACCAGCGCGGAAGTACGATCTGGACTTTTTAGATAATAGCCGAACAAAGGGACCATGTGGCATGCCAAAAGGTGAGCTATTAACTCAATGAAATATGTTTATGTTGTTTTTTTTTTAATCGAATTCCTTCTCATATAATTCCTAGTTTCAAATAACAATCAAATTGTATGAAATCTTTTCATTGTACTTTGAATATAATGCTCATGACAATTTTGAGTGTGTGTGTGTGCGATTATTTCCGTTGCATGATTCGACAAAAGTAAATTTGTTGCAATATTGATGGATTTATTGTTCACTTCTTGGATTGTTATGGTTGGATTTATCTTTTTTTTTCTCTTTTCCTCATCTTTTCGCTTAATGTGTAAGCCAACGCAATGAAGAAGGGAAACGAAAAACAACCTTTCAAACGACGCAAGATTTAAACGATCGTTGACCGTGAAAACTGATGAAACTGACATGTCATCACCATTTTCAATTGGTGTAATAATCACTTTGCATACAATTCATCCAAGTCACAGTGGTCGGGAGTTTTTGTTTCGATTACGTGTCTGAGTCGAGAGAGATAAAAAAACAAGACGCACAATTCGTTTTTTATTTTGAACAGCATGTGCGCGCGCAAACAACCACGGCCAAAATACAACAACGGATTCAAATCGATATAATTGCACGGCCAATTGTTGAGATTGTTTTCTCAATTAACGAAAACATACATACACATTTTTTAATGAATGTAAATGGTAATGGAAGCCATTTGTTTGAAGCGACACATTGCACGCGACGGCTCATCCTAATCTCGGCACATTCTTCACGGTTTCCATAATGATCACACTTTTTGCAATGCAAATTGTTAAATGGCCACTTATTTCGGTCAATTTCACACAATCTCAATCACAATATCACGGTAAAAGCCAAACCATACTCTCTGAGCATAGCGAATTACATTGAATTGAGAAAAATAGAAAGAAAGAAGAAAAAAAAACCAAACCATATAACATTGAAAAGCGGCTCGGGCTCATATAAAACAAAACGAATAGAGAAAAAAATCACATACACTGATATATCAAGTGTCTTGCCGCAAGACTCTTGCGAGAGGAGAACGCGATAAACGGCATTGTATCATTAGTTGAAGATGAACAATCAAACTGCCCAATCAGGGAAATTAAATCTAAAGCAAAAAAAGAAAAACAAATCCGATAATAATTGTTTGTACAGCAGTGATGAACCATTTTTTCTCTCGTCTACTTATGGTTAGTTTTTTTAGTCAGCTTTGACTTTTTCCACTTCAAATCAAATTGAAGTTTAGAGTTTTAAATGATAATAGAAAAAAACCGGTATACTTCCGTGTATGAATCGAATATTTCGCTTGTTTATCAATCATCGCTTATGAAGAAAAAAGACACCGACCAAAAAAAGATCAAAATATCGAAATCGCGATTTTCTGCTGTATTGAATCGGGTGGATATTTGTACATAAATGGGTATTGAGTACGAAGGCGCACACACACCACTTGAATGTGTGTACGGGCGAGTGCGCTCTCTTTCTCGTATTGCATTCATAAAATTCACTCGAAAATCTCGAATATTCTTGGAGATATATATATATATATATTTTCGTTCAATTAAAATTCCGGAAAGGGCTTTCGAGCAATAAGGCATGATCCATTGGTTGTTTTATACGGTAAAAATCTCACGGCCAAAATGAAAAATGCATGCGAAAATAATGCGCGCGATAAATGTTCGTATTGAATGTTGCTATGTAGCCAGCCAGCCAGCCACATAGGAATTTGGCATTAAATTCAGTTGAATTTATGAATATAAACACCCAATCCCGATCGAGCACACAGTTGCAACATCTACAACAGCTTTAAATGTTGTATACGGTAAGCAGAAAAGGAAAACAAAACTGTGAAATGAGCGCACAAAATTCAAACCAAAAACAAAAGCAAATGTTATTTTGTTAATGCAAGCACTTTTAAGTAGGTAAATCAACTTGAAAAGTGCAATGTATGCTTTTGACTTTCTTTTCAGAAGACAAACAACTATTTACACCTTATGTATTGCATAATAATGATTGTTAGTCCGAAGTTTTGTTTTTTTATTTGCTTTCTTGTAGTGCAAACAACTGACTCAAAGGCTAAGCGAAGCCCACGGGTGCATACCATGCACGATAAACACAATTTCTGCACGAAATAACATACTGAGCAGTAACACCAACAACAACGTCGACACGGTATCGTCATCGTCGTTGTCGGCACAAATAAATATGTGTGCTCCAAGCAAACGATTGAAAATGAAATTATGTCAAGTGTTTTTGATCGTGAATTAGTAAGCATTATCTTTTGAAAAGAAAAAAAATTGCAGTTATAGGCGTGCGATTCGCCAATTTAATGTATGTAAGTGTATGTTGTTTGTGCACATTTGTCGGTCTTATTTACAAAATGTAGTGCATACTCTTGTCGCACAGAAAGCACACATTTAAACCACAACACCGAAGGTGAATTCCTGTCCGCAATGAATGTAATCGAACTAGTTCAGCAGATAGAGAGCTCCTTTATATTCGTCTCACATTCATTGCATACGTTACATTTTTCCACTTTGGACGGTCATTGCTGTCTTTTTTTTTTTTTTTTTTTTTCATTTTGATCGTGAACGTTTCGACAGTATGACGTTTATCAAAAAGTTGCTATTGCAAGAAATTTCAATCGCTCATCAAAATACGATCACGAAATGTGAAAATGAATTTAATGACATAAATCAATATGTTTGAGCCGTGATCGTGCGCTCGATCGACCAAGCACTTCAATTGCATTTCAGGTGTAATGCGACGTTTTTTTTATCTTTGTTTTCCATTGAATTGTGTTGTGAAATTTAGCGAATTTTTCATTCGAATATTTGCAAGAGAAAAAAAAAGTATCATAATAATCAACTTGTTGTCGGCGTCATCAGCGCATTGTCACCAAATCATGTACATTTAAAAGTAACTCATGTATTATATTTATACGACAAAATACATTGAATTAATTGAATGAAAACATGTACATAACATTGATTTGATTATAAAGTATTTGATGAAAAAATAAATAAATAAGTGGAATCGTGAGCTTGGTCAAATCGTCACACCATAAATGCGTACCACACACACGCACACACACACACACACACCTTTCATGCTAATTACTGCTATCATATAGCACATACACTTTATTGTGTGCTCGTTCACTCGATAAATAGCCAGATTCATAACTAACGCACATTCTCTTTATCCGTTTGTCATCGCTTCGCTGAACATTCCATTCACACAACAAGTGTTTGCTCTGTACGCCATGCACTACATTATTATTTGGCTATTGTGGCCGAATAAAAAATGAATTATGTGAATTGAATTTGCATGAAACAAATATTTGTGGTATGAATTTATAATAATGCAAATGGGTCTTTGCATGCCAAATACACTATGTGAAAACGGAAAATAAGTATCGGTTATGTATTATGCATTGATTGCCTTGTGTGCTCAAGCAGTCAAACAAGCAACAATCAAAATCGGAATTGGAATTTGATTATTAATTTTTGATTGTATGTAGTTATATGGCCGTTTATATTTTTAGGCTATTTCTCTCTCTCTCTCTCTCTCGCTCAATTTTCGATAATGCTGTCATTAAATTTTATAACTGTTTCCAGACAGGTTTCTGAATTTAAACAGCAAAAATCTTGTCTGTATTTCGTTTCAAGTTTTTTCCCTACTTCTTTCTTTCTTTTTATTTTTTGTGTGTATTTTTCTCTCAGTGGTTTTTGATGTGATATTTATTGTAATATTTTTGTCATCCATTTGTCTTTTGGGAATAAATCTTTAGGCATCCAATCAAAAAAAAATAAAAACCGATTTCGAGCTTCGATTATTATCATCATCAAGTTCGTTTTTTTTCACACTACTTTTCTCAATATACTTACATTAGTTTGAATGAATAACGTTGACGAAATCATTGAAACGATGTTCAGATAAAAAAAAATGTGTGAGACCTGTCCGGTTTCTTTTTTTTTCTTTATATAAGTTTTTGTATAAAATATGGAAAATATGCTCATTCGTCTAACACGTTAACTTGAAAATATTTTGATTTTTGTTGAAATTTTTGGTATCTATCCGGTTTTTTAGGTTCAACACGAACATCATTCTTGGCTGGTTCATCGATTAATGTTACTTGGCATTTAGCATACCCACACCGAGTAAGTTTTACAAAAATTCTTTTCGATTTTAAGTATTGTGCCATTCTTATTTTTCGACGAAATGCTGTTGTGATTGAAAAGACTGATGAAATCCAACTGAATTATTTTTTTTTATTTAAATAGAATGGACGAATTTTAATGTGTGTTTTTTTATTTCCCACACATGCATGTGATTCGATTCAGTTTTTTTTTATTTTTCACATAAATAACATATTTATAATGCTTTACATCAAATTTCAATGCTAATATATTACAATACACAGCAATGATGAGAATGAAGATGAGTGAAAAATAATGTTGGGCAGCGCTCGATGGTTTTATGGTCGATGTTTCTTGTGTTGTTTGTTGCGATGGAACAATCGGTTTGAAAAATCTAACATTACAATTATGTTCACCATCACAAAATGAACATTGATATTGATTGTTATTGCAATAGTTTTTGTCATCATCGACCATTTCCGATGCGCATTTTTGCACAAAACTATCATCTTTACGCTGAATTAACGCACATGAATCGGCAACATTTTTACAGCATACGGAATATTGGTCTATCGATTCTGGCTCATTGTCAGTTGGACGTTTTTCGGATGTACTGTCACAATTTGACAGTCACATCGTATACATCTTCGACGATTTTTTGGAAATTCATATCCGTTACAAACATCCGAACCATTTGCAATACACAAATTACATGTTTCTTTATTATGCAAACAATAACTGTATTCCTCGTTTATTCCCACCCGTTATTGTATCCTTGAATCGATTAGTTGAAATATAGGCATAGGTAGGGAGAAACAGAAGAAGAAAAAAATTCAATTAAAACGTGAATTTTGACATGAAAAATGATTTGAAATCAATACCCATGCCACGTAGCGATAAAAATCATCTAGGTCAGTCGAATCATACAGGCATTGACCGAATCCAATTGACGGTACATCGTGCAAGCATTTTGGATCGCGGCTTGAGTCACATGATTTGCACTTGTGTTTTGGGTGTCCAACGTTGCAAAGTGATGCATAATACCAGTCACATTTTATAGCTGCACCAGATTTACATGCCGTTTGCTCCAATTGATTCAATGAATCGTAACAATCACGTTTGATTATCGTATCTATCGCATTCAGGTGGATTCGAATCAATTTTGCATATAGAAAAAAAAAAAATTAACAAACGGTTTTTAATGAAAGAAATGTTCGAAACAAAATAAGAATGTATAACAAATTCAATTTACTGTCATTGTAAATGGTAACGCAGCTGTTGCAGATCTTTTTATCTGCCTTTTTGCCAGCATACACAATTCCGTCTCAATCTTCAGCTCCAAGCACCTGGCACGGTGTCAAACAAAATATCATTAAAGTTGTTACGAAAATAAATTTCACGCTCATTTTTATTCGCTAAACGAGTACATGGAATGGTCTCGAAATAAAACTGTGATTTGATCAAACGCTGTAAGCCGCTTATATATTAGGATATATGACAATTTGCATGCATGCAATCTTATCTTTATTTCCATCGTAATTGATATAGGTTTTCTTTGATCGAAGATCAATGTTCTTCTTATGTTCAAATCATGTTATATTGTTTATGATTTGTCGCCGACAATGTCAAGCACCACATTATTCTCTCCTAAAATTTCGATAAATTGTAAAAATTATGATAAGATAGCGAAAATATTCACAAATTAATTGGTATTTGTTATTTACTTATCCATAGGGTGGTTTTCGATTGCAATTGCTTGATCACTTGGAACGTCCTGTGCTCGATTTAACTCCATCCGTCGGTGGCACCGATTTTGTTCGAAACGATGTGACGGCACAAAACTTTGAAGTACGATTTCCATCCGATTTTACATGCAAAGATTGCACACTACGCCTCTTACGTCAAGCCGATGAATGGTCAAATGGATATCGATTTTGGTCATGTGCTGATATTGACATCAAAAGCCGTACGTATTAGCGTTATTAGCAAAATAAATATACAAGCGCTATGAATAAATATGTTTGATTACAGGAAAAGAATTCCGTGAAACATGTTCGGGACACGGTAAATATCTAGCCAGTCGATGCAAGTGTGATAAGAAATATTATGGATCACGGTGTCAGTACAGTGACGAATGTGAGAAAAACGATGATTGCGGTGCACAGGGTAAATGCATTGATTTGCAAGGCACTGCATTGCCAAGACGTCAATGCTACTGTAATTTTGGTTGGTTTGGACCAAACTGCTCGAAAAGTAAGTACTTTCAAAAAAAAAGATTAAATTTGAAATGAATACATTTTTCTTCTTCGCTCAGTGTTTTGTTTAATTTGCGTGGGAAATTCGATTTATATCGATTCAAAGCTCATGAATTCATTTATGATATTCTCTAAACGTTAGAGAAATAAAATGATCTTAATCAAATGTACCTTTTGTTTTATAAATTTTAGAATCGCCAATCAAATCAAAGGATCTTGATCTATCGCAATACTCAACAAAGCAACTTTCACCCGACTATCGTATTCATTGGCGTATATTGAAAGATAAAAATGAAATTGAAATTGTTGCCATTGTAAATGGAACGTCATGGGTCGGATTAGGTTGGAGACCACGTAAGCTTAATGCGACATGTCGAAATTTCCCGCTTATTCAAAAGGAAAAGGGAACACCATCGGAGCAGTTAGTGAAAGCAAATGTGAATCAAAACAGTCGAACGCCAACATCTGAACCGGAACCCTCTACGGAACCCGAGAAAGAACCAGGTAAATTAATAATTTTCTGAATACAAAAGTATATGGTAATTTCACTTAGCGTTTACATTCATGTTTACATTAAAATAATAAATCAAATGCATAGCTCCAGAAAAAGATAGTAAACATCCATCTAGTGAGCCGACATCCGAACCAAATGCTGAACCGGAGAAAGAGCCAGGTGAAATTTGAATTCATTAAATTCATATCTAGGGCGAGATATCATTGATTGGATGTGATTCAACATGATTTGATATTTTTCGAATTAATTTTAATTTTCTTGCAAGTTCGAAAACATTCATTTTAATATTTAAAATAGTGATATTTTGTCTGAAGATTTAAATCCTTTTCGTGTTGGTTTATTTCACTGAAATTGGTGTCTTTCATTTCATATTATTGTGGACTTTTTCTCAACATTTAATTTCAAAAAATTCGTAGCGCCAGAAAAAGGCAGTAAGCATCCAACCAGTGAGCCAACATCAGAGCCAAAATCTGACCCAGCTTCTGAACCGGAATCAGGTTGGTTTTAAAAAAAATAATGGCAGAAATCGTATCTTTTTTATCAAAGAACTTTGAACAAAACACATATTTATTATGGCAGCACGAAAGCAATTAAAAGAAAGTCTAAACGAGTAACATAGAATCAAATAAAACTCAAAACAACAAAAACAAAAATACATTAGCAAAATGTGACGGTGTGAGTGTCATTTAAGAGAATTTAAATAACGGTGAGAAAATGTTGCTCATGTCTGATATTTATTTATTTATTTATTCACCGTCTGATCACAGACTGAATTTATCACAAATTTTGTACAATATGGTTTACAATGAGACACCACCCGATCGAATATCCAGCTACCAGTCTTTTCGACTTCAGAGCAGCAGACATCGATTGTGTTCATTGTGTAATCTCTTTCGTCTCCATACATTCTTTAAAATTATCTGTTCACCGATTATTAAATATCAAATTGTCTAAATGAACAATATAATTCCTGTCTGTGTTCATTCCATCTTTACATTTAAATATTAACATCGATTCATGTTTCAATAAGTTACAATTGTTTTCAAATCTGTGGTGTTGAGTCTTGCATTGAGCCGAGAATGTTCCAAAGTTTATTGTTGTTTGTATGAAAATAATACATTTGCTAAACAATATAAAAATATACGTAATAAATTATTTCACGAAAAAAATACGATTTCTGCAATCAATAAGGAACAATTTAATTTTAAACATTATGATTACTGGATTGCAAGATGATTCCGTGTGAGTTAAACGCACACAATTAAAAAAATATTCATTTAAACAAAGTTATGTTATATTTTCTCGCCCATGAATTTTAAACGATTCAATTATTATCATTTATTTTTTTTCGTTCATTTGTAGAGCCCGAAGCTGAGAGCAAAGCACCAGAAAAAGAGCCAGGTAAAATCTATTGTTTTATTGTGATTAATTTGAATAATTGAAAATTCTCACGCACAATGTGATATAAAGATACAACGTTACAAAATGGGAAATGTCAAAAATGGACATAAATTAAATCACCTCGAAGTTAATTATGAGATCGTCGTTTAACATATTTTAATCATTGATTATTTTTTTCTCACATTTTATATTTAGCACCTGAAGGACATGGGAAACATCATCCATCAAGTGAGCCAACATCAGAGCCAAAATCCGAGCCAGCTTCTGAACCGGAATCAGGTATTATTTTTCAAAGTTCAGATAATTTTTTCAAGTACCCCGTCATTGAAATACAACTAAGCAGTAAACCTTTCAAATGTTACACGCCGATTTTCGATTTTTTATATGAAATTAGCCCAAAGTAATATCTTAGCCCAATGTAATGACTGCAATTGGGAGAAAAATGCTTCAATTTGTATTTTTTGAGCCCCTCCACCGATTCCATACCAAACATTGAAAATCGACGTGTCACATATTGAAAGGTTTAATGGTAAGATGTTAAATTATTTTCCTTTTTTTCGATCATCAGAACCAGAATCTGAGAACGAAGCACCACAAACGGAACCATCATCAAAACGAACCAACAAACATCAATCAAAAGAACCAACATCGGAGCCGGAAACAGAGCCACAACCAGAAGGTATATAGCTAAATAGTTATTTTAAACGCTCTAGATTGATATAATAAGGATAAAATATTGATATCAAAGAGATACCATATTTCGTTACTAAAGGTTTCGTTTTAGTTTCGTTTTGTTCTGATAACTGGCCACTATTCTGCCATGTTTTAGTAACAGAATTTAGTTTTGCTTTGATATGCGATGCAGTTCAACGGTGTTGATTGAAAAACAATACGAAAAATATGTTGCACTCACGTTTACGCTTTCAATCATGCAATATGTTATTTTTATTCTAGAGCGTTCGTTTAAATTTGAAAATAGTATTTTTTTATTTTTATTTGTGATGATTATTTAATTATAATTTGTATAGAACCATCTACTGAACCAGCAACAGAACCCCCATCTTCTACAACGGCTTTACCGCCTCGTCCACAACCTTTCCGAACACGTTTATTTAATAAAACCAAACGTGTTGTTATTCCGTTGAGAGAACGACAAAACTTCCAAGGCGCAAGAGATTTATCAAAACGACACATTCGAGCCGTGCCACGTAAATATTTTTTATCAAGTGGTCTTATGATTTAAATAACTATTTTGAATCGATTTATTTGCATAAATTAGGAGCTGAACCTTCAACTGAACCAGAACCTGAGGGAAATGCTGAACCAGGTAAAATCTATATAACTTCTATCGTAATGCTTTTTAAAATGTCCTTAATAACTTTTCCAAAAATAAAACTGTAACTTTAAACAGAACCACCATCACCTGAAACAGAGCCAGAAACAAGTAAGTTCTTACAGATATTTTGTAAACTTTTAAAAATACTAATAAAATGGTATTTTCAGCTCCAGAAGGTAGTCAACCCGAACCAGAAAGTACATCCCCAGAGCCTGAGTCAAAATCCGGTAAGCATTGTCATGAAATTTCATAATTAACTAATGAATTTTGAAAGCCGATAAACTTTTACAACCACATAATAGTAGATAGAAATATTGACGCAATTAAAAAAAATATATAATTTTATTATTTTGTTTTCACCGAAGAACCATCAAGTGAACCATCGAAGGAACCAGCACACGAGCCATCTGGTGAACCATCGAAGGAACCAGCACACGAGCCATCTGGTGAACCATCGCATGAACCTTCAAGCGAACCGTCAGG